TCTCTCTCTCTCTCTCTTCACCAATCCAACACTTAACTCAACCTCTCTCTCTCTCTTTACCAATCCGACACTTTAACTCAACCTCTCTCTCTCTCTTTACCAATCCAACACTTTAACTCAACCTCTCTCTCTCTCTTACCAATCCAACACTTTAACTCAACCTCTCTCTCTCTCTCTTTACCAATCCAACGCTTTAACTCAACCTCTCTCTCTCTCTTTACCAATCCGACACTTTAACTCAACCTCTCTCTCTCTCTCTCTCTTTACCAATCCGACACTTTAACTCAACCTCTCTCTCTCTCTTTACCAATCCAACACTTTAACTCAACCTCTCTCTCTCTCTCTCTCTCTCTCTTTACCAATCCGACACTTTAACTCAACCTCTCTCTCTCTCTTTACCAATCCGACACTTTAACTCAACCTCTCTCTCTCTCTCTCTCTCTTTACCAATCCGACACTTTAACTCAACCTCTCTCTCTCTCTTTACCAATCCAACACTTTAACTCAACCTCTCTCTCTCTCTCTCTCTCTCTCTTTACCAATCCGACACTTTAACTCAACCTCTCTCTCTCTCTCTCTCTTACCAATCCAACACTTAACTCAACCTCTCTCTCTCTCTCTCTCTCTCTCTCTCTTTACCAATCCAACACTTTAACTCAACCTCTCTCTCTCTTTACCAATCCAACACTTTAACTCAACCTCTCTCTCTCTCTCTCTCTCTCTGTCTTTACCAATCCGACACTTTAACTCAACCTCTCTCTCTCTTTACCAATCCAACACTTAACTCAACCTCTCTCTCTCTCTCTCTCTCTCTCTCTCTATTTCTCTCTCTCTCTCTTTACCAATCCAACACTTTAACTCAACCTCTCTCTCTCTCTCTCACCAATCCAACATTTTAACTCAACCTCTCTCTCTCTCTCTCTCTCTCTCTCTCTCTCTCTCTCTCTCTCTCTCTCTCTCTTTACCAATCCGACACTTTAACTCAACCTCTCTCTCTCTCTCTCTTTACCAATCCGACACTTTAACTCAACCTCTCTCTCTCTCTCTCTCTCTCTCTCTCTCTCTCTCTTTACCAATCCGACACTTTAACTCAACCTCTCTCTCTCTCTTTACCAATCCGACACTTTAACTCAACCTCTCTCTCTCTCTCTCTCTTTACCAATCCGACACTTTAACTCAACCTCTCTCTCTCTCTTCACCAATCCAACACTTTAACTCAACCTCTCTCTCTCTTCACCAATCCAACACTTTAACTCAACCTCTCTCTCTCTCTCTCTCTCTTTACCAATCCAACACTTTAACTCAACTTCTCTCTCTCTTTACCAATCCAACACTTTAACTCAACCTCTCTCTCTCTTCACCAATCCAACACTTTAACTCAACCTCTCTCTCTCTCTCTCTCTCTCTTTACCAATCCAACACTTTAACTCAACCTCTCTCTCTCTCTCTTTACCAATCCAACACTTTAACTCAACCTCTCTCTCTCTCTCTCTCTCTCTCTCTCTTTACCAATCCGACTCTGCATCATTATGTTTACTTTAACTCAACCGCGGGAACTTACTACGAAGTGTATTTTCCTTTTGTTTCTTTACTGGTGTTATGAATCGTTTGGTCGTTGTGTGTTTTGTGTGAACCTCAGGGAGAAGAGTTGTAACTGCTGAAATACTAAACGGGGATCCCATGTTTACTTTTCAATACAGACATATCTGATGAGTAGTTTTGGCATTATGATAAAAAAAACTACATAAAGAGGCTGTCGTTGAGACACTTCCTGACTTCAACTCCTGAAAGACTCCAGATAACACGGTCGCGCTTTAAACCGTAACACCAGTGGTCAACGCGATGCTAATTTTATAGAAAAGCGATTCTAAAAGTCAATAAAATCTCTATTTATAGTTGAATTAACATGATTTGAGCACTGAGCTGAACATAACGATTATTTCACAGTGTTGTTTTGACGTTTTTGACGCATATATATAATATGATATATATATTACCAATTTTAAATAATTAATGACACATTTAAACAATTATTTAATAATTTAATAACACATGCATTTAATTAATTAAATAATTATATATGTATTTAAATATTTGTTGATTTATTTCCAATATTAAATAATTAATTACACATTTAAATAATTATTTAGTAACACATGCATTTAATTAATTAAATTATTATATATTTATTTATATATTTGTTGATTTATTTTCAATATTAAATATTGATGACACATTTAATTTGATGATTTAATTAATTATATATTTATATATTTCATTTTGGCACTTTTAGTCCTCCATACTTGTGGGCCTCCAGTTGATCCTGCTGCATTCACTGGCTGCTCGGATACTCCCGTTTTCCCGATTTCTGTGTATTTATGAGCTTTTGGTAATTTTATTTAGACCATTTTAAATGAATCCATCTCAATGATCTCATAATCATAATAACAGAGATTTTATTGTTATAAGTCACGCGGTATTGAAAAGGAGCAAACTGATTTTCTCCCTGTATCTGTACTACTTCAATCAATTCATGTTTTGGGTTACGTGTCAGCTTTTCCTACAACTACATTAACTGTATCAGAATATTTTGGCTCAAATGTGGCAGTAGTGAAGCAGATCACAGACAGATGGAAAAGCATAGAATTGCGATGTTTCCAAAGTCATATAACATCATCATCACATGTTTTTCAGATGTGCCTCCTCTCCCTGCTGAACCTGAGACATCCGCTCCATCGTTGCCCCCTGCAGTCATGGAGACGACGCCCACAATCGGGTACTGTCCGCTGCCTCTCTACTACAACGGATTCACCTCCTCCTCCTCCTCCTCCTCCTCCCACACTCACCAACTCCACTGACTGCACTGAACCAGAGCCGAGCCGCGTCCCCTCTACGTGGACTCCAGAGCAGGGTCCACCGCCCGCTCCCACTCACTGCTGCATGAGCGGCTGTCATAACTGCGTGTGGATCGAACACGCAGAGCAGCTGCTGGAGTTCTACTCCGACGGAGGGGATCGGGCGCTCGAAGCAATCGAGGAGAACGTCCTCGATGAGAACCTTAAAACGTATCTGAAGATGGAGATTAGACTCTTGAAAAAATAAATGACTGACGATTTTACTACTAACCTACTCAGAAAGAAGGTTTCACTGACAGACTATGAGCTCCATTTTCACTTCCTGGTCCTGTGAGTCACACAGTTCATTGTCTGAACATATTGGTTCACATGAAGGTTAAGGTAGCTGATGACTTCCTCCAAAGCTCCTCCTGCTCTGTCTGGAGTTATTGGTAAACAGTTTTAATCATTACAGTTTTAAAAATGTAGAAATATGGAAGTGTTGTCCATCAGTTATTATTTTATTTTAAGTATGCACATCTTAAATCATCGTCTCATGGAATAAACAAGCGCACACATGGAGTGGAAGAGAGTCGGGACAGGGTCTTTAGGTCTAGAGCTCTGATTCAGTATTCTGTGTGAGGTGATGATTCATTTTAATGTTCCTTTTATCATGAAGCACTTTTGCACATTTCTTTTATTTATCATGTGATTTAAAGTTTGAACTGAGCAGTGAAAGTACATTTTTATGTGACTGATTCTTATTATATTATAAGGGTGTTCATTTATGTATTTCAGATTTATATTCAAGAGTTTGTTGAATAAATGTTTTCTCCAAAACGACACAAACTGTTTCTTGGTGTAACTTCATCGCAAGGAATGGCCACTAGAGGGCGCCAGAAATACATAAAACTGCTCCTCTACTCTTTACTCACAGGGCTTTCACACTTGCAGAAAACTCCTGAAAAACTCACTCATTCTCCTGTCAAACCCCTCATACTTTAAAGTGGAGTGACATCTTTCAGTCCTCCTGAGGTGAACTCCTCCAGCTGCCCGTTTGTCCCTGTAGCGGTCTGTGAGGTCACAGAGACCCTGATCTGATCTCGCTCACTGACTCAGCACTCAGTCCTGTAACGGTGATGCGCCTGTAAGTCCTGATTACACGGTGCCAGTGGACACTTATTCTATGATCCAGGTGTGTGCAGAGGATTACATGTGAGGCGTTTCCCTCATCATGAACTGAACACCTCAGACTCTCTGACGTGATGGAAGAAACTGGGATGATTAGTGCTGATGATTCTCTGCGTCATACAGTGTGCCGTATTCACTGATGTAAAACTTGTTTGAGTATCATTTGGTAAAGTTTGGTTTGTTTATGCTGAACAAAGATTAGAGGTCAATTATTTTTATTATTTTTTGCAAAACAAGACATTCTGTGACAGGACTTTTTATAACAGTCATATATTTTCACACAGTTCCACCTTCAGGTTAAAATCTTCATTTATAGACGTGCAGACATCTATTTGATTATATATATATTCTTTACATAAAAACGTAGGTTATTTCAAGTTACTCCAAATTGTGTAACATTAAAACATCTTTTTTCAGTCTTTGAAAAAGTTTGGTAAGAAATAAGTACCTGGAACAGTTTTACATTCATGAAATCCAGCCAATTTCATTTTATATTTAAATGCACGGCCTGCTCCGACCTCCACCTCAGCGGAGAGGAAGTGTGGACAACAAGAACGAGAGGAATACAAAGGAGAAAACCTTCCTGCATCTTATCCCAGATGCTCTTTTGTAAAGAGTCTCGAGATAACACTTGCTATGAATTGGTGCTCTACAAGTAATGATTGATTGATGTTCAAAGTCACAATTTAAATTAATGTGTATGCAAACTCCTGCAAAGTCTATGAACATGACAACCTTCTGACTTGGGATTTTTCTAAACTGTCTCAATAACTAAAGAACTATTTGAGGTACTTGCACCTACTATACAACCCCAATGAGCACAAACAGTGATTCCAAAGAGGGTTTAATAAGAGTCTACTGATTTGATGCATGAGTATGATGGGAAAAGAAGAATCCGTACTTTCAGCTTTTCTTGGTGAGGTTAAGTCAGGATATCTTTACCTCATTCATTTTGATCATCCTTATCTGTATCTTCTCTTTACAGAGCTACAAAACTTAATCCCTGGAGTTTCTCTGAAAGGTGAAACAGGCTCAGTGTGTTTAGAAGATCTGCAGAATCAAAGGTATTGAATGAATCTTCTGTTAAAAAGAGGGAGCTGTCAATACGGAGAATTACAGCTAAGTGTCGTGAAGATGATCTTTTGTAGAATGGAGGTTGTTTTTCTTGAAGCAGGTGGTGACACAGTTGCATAACAGAGAGCGAGTGGGCTCGGGGGCCAATCAGGACACTTCCTGTTGCTGTCCATCTTAATCTGAATCAACATACTCCAACCTGTATTATATCATACATCCTTCTGTCTACAGTCTGTGTGTTTGGTGAGCATTGCTGCACTGTTTATTATTTATCATTTCTTTAACCACTGACTGAGAGTAAGAGTCTATTTTACAGCGGTGTTAGAGAGTCTAGCAGTTATGTCTCAGAGGATTTAGTCCTCGCTGCAGCGTCCACTGATTCAAAACTGATTTCATCCCTTTGCTGCATGTCGTCCTCCACTCTCTCTCCTGTCCCTCTCTTCAGCTGTCCTGTCCAGTGAAGGGCCCAAAAAGAATCTTGTTGACATTGAGAAGATGTAAAGATAGAAGTGTGTGAAATGTTCAAAATAAAATTGCCTTGTCTTATTTTCCTCACAAGATTTGTCGAAGTGGAAAAACACAGGAAGTAACTTCATATATCTGAAGAACATAATGAGAGATATTGGTTATGTGTAAACCTTAACCTTCTTTGACCCTGTACATGTAAACAACTGTTGACATCAGAGAAGAGGGGGCGGTGCATCGTTTTTTAATCTGCAGGGGTTCCTCTTATAAGAGATGCTCTAAACCCTCGCCGGCCCTCACAGTGAGCCCAGCATTGAACTCCACTCGTCTGCAAGACGGACCGGTGCTGCATCTCATCCAGACGTCTGGCTGACCTTCACACCCAGCAGTGAGTAGATCCTCTGATACATCAACACACACTCACACACACACACACACACACTCACACACTCACACATATTTTTAATTTCATATCTTAGAGGTCAGCAATGGGAGAGTTTGAGAATATTGATGCTGTCATTCTGGAGATGTATGGAAGTGAGAGGATATTATGGATCTTCATTTGCTTATATTTCGGTTAAATGATCTCACGTCTACTCAAATTGCAAACTCTGGAAATGACGGTGAACTGTGACAAGATTTATGTTGCACAAGTGGAATTTGAATTTGATCTACACTACAAGAAAATGAATCAAATGGAACTGAAATGAAAAACGTTGAATTACTAAAACAAATATATTGTTCCAAAGCTTTTCAAACAGGGGACAAATATGATCATCAATAAATGGTGACAGGTTGATATCTTGTGTTTCAGACTCTCTCTGATTGGTTGGCCCTCAAAACAAAGTCCTAAAGATCTTAGACGGCCTAATGTAGTGTAACAAAGGTTGTCTCCAATGCTAGGAGTAGAGGATTCATCTTATTATATACAGAATGAGAGGCTGCATGATGGTGCAGAGGTTAGATCTGTTGATGGATGGATGTATGTATTGGATTGGATGGATGTACAGAATGTGATTCCTTGAGTTTTTATGATATTTCATTGTCTGCAAACAGATGAAGAGGTGTGACACTGAACATCAACAACTTGTAAAAGAGGACTAAATATATCAACACTTTTGTAGATATTTTTACATAAAAATGACTCTTATCTTTATGTATCCGAGAGAATATGAAAACATTGGTCAATTATTTCCGATCAAGTGAAGATTAAGTCGCTATGAGACGGGACACGCTGATTGGATTGATCACTGAGACCCTCAGTGCGTGCTCAGCAGATCTGTTGTCCTTGTTCTAACGAGATTACACCTGGACGGTCAGAGGGGGGGAGTCCTTATTAACTTGAGCCGGGGATTATGGGAAAATTGGGTCGTCCTCCCTGTACAGGCTGCCAGGTGGTAGATGGGAGGAGAAGTATGAGTGTAAATCCAGCCTGATGCTCGTCACATCAGTAAGAAGGATTAAGATCTGTGAAGACGGCCAGAGGTGACCGAGGCTGGAACATGAAATGAATGAAATAATAGAACAATTTAGATTGTTCTCTGCTGGACACACCATCTTCTCTTATTGTGGGATAACGAGTGAAGTTCAGGAGAGACCCAGAGAACAGCTGAAATGACCTTAATTATAATAGAAGGTGTGCATGAATGAATGAACGCTAAGGGCTTCCGTAGAAGTAAATGGAACAGGGAGGGAAATCAAAATCAATAAATTGAGCTTCACATGTTTGAAAATATGAACATGAAGGTATTTAGACACTAAATAAATCTTGGTTAATTAAGAAAAAAAATATCATGTTGTCAATGTCCAACATTTAAAGGAGCAGTATGTAACTCTGACTCCTAGTGTTTAAAGTGGGTACTGCAGTTCAGATTCTAAACATTGCAGAGATCTGTTTTCCGCCGCCCCCTCCTCGATGCTCACACAGGTCACCATGTGGTGGACTCTGAAGCTTCAGTGTTTATCCAGCTCTGCATGGGTCTGTAAACCTTTCTGTGTTCTAACCTCTCTCCATTTTTCAAAAGCATCTCCAATATTGATCCTAGTTTGAGCACGTTTCTGCTCGTGGAGCTTATTAGAAACATGCAGAGGCTTTTTAGGTCGGGTACAATCACTTCTATCTGAACCACTTCTCTTGACCGCTTCCATCGCTGCAACACCTGTTGACCTGATAACTGCTCTCATATCTGACAAACCGAGGGGCGTCCAAAACGGTCGTGGACCTTTACATTTTAAGGCAATAAGACCGAGCTTCTCTGTTTGAAAAGTCTCCACCATCATATCTCTCTCATTTCAATCTCTCAGTTTACCTTCATTTCTTTCTCCTTTCTGAAACATGTAGACTTCATCAGAGAGGAATCTTTCTGTCATAACCGCTCAAAATGAATCTGGATCCTCACAAGATTGAGATCAAGTCGGCCACCCGTGTCACCGGAGGCCCCGCCACCCCACGCAAGGGCCCACCTAAGTTCAAGCAGAGGCAGACCCGCCAGTTCAAGAGCAAGCCTCCCAAGAAGGGAATCCAGGGGTATGCCTTAAAGAGAGTACAATTTGACTTCAGCTGTTTAGGAGTAAGAGACAAATATTGAGTTATGTCTTTTTGTTCTTCTCAGTTTTGGTGATGATATCCCCGGGATGGAAGGTTTAGGCACAGGTGAGTTAACTCCTTAAATGTTTTTTTAAGTTAGTCTCTATGCAATGCAAGAGTATGACTGAGCTTATAAATCTTTTTTTTTGTTTCTGCAGACATCACCGTCATCTGCCCCTGGGAGGCCTTCAATCACCTGGAGCTGCACGAGCTGGCTCAGTACGGTATCATCTGAGCCGTCCTGCTCCTCCCTGTGATGTTCCGAGGATTACAGGCCACATCCCAGCACCTCACACTAGATCTGCCTCGGGCCTCATCTCGCAGCTTTAAATCCAAAAACCCACAGAAACAAACTACCACATTGCACCGTAACAAACAGAAAAAAAATGGAAAAGAGCAAAAAAAAAAATCTGCAAAAAAATCCATCCTGTCATTCTTCTCTTGATCTCTTCTTCTGATTCTGCATTTTCACATAAATAATCTGCTCATTTTTAGGATCTTTAGCTTTCATCTTCACCAGATCTGCACAGTTACTCTGAGCTTTTTCTCTTACTTTAATCTTCTTCTCTCTTCTCCTCTTTTCTAACTGTCACAACATATACGCATGCAAGGCAGCCTCAAGTTGAGTTTAAGTGACAAACCCGTGAAGAGGTTGGGTTCCTTCTTCATGTGCTTTGAGGGCCTCTTTTACCATCTCAAAGGCTTTTCCATCAACACTGCAGATATAATAACTGATACTGTAGAGAGTGGACGACATTTCAGTGAGATAACGTTCATAAATCATGATCAGAAATCCCTCTTATCCCTTTGTTTGGACAAAAGATGCTTCACATAAATCTCCTTCTGATTTGTCTTTAAAGTTTCTACCACCAATAAGTTGTTGTGTGATGTTTGAGGAGAGTAAAGAGTTCATCTCTTTTCTTGTAATATACCTGAAATATAGTGTGTACCATTTATTATAAATCCAAAGCATAGACTGTATATATACAAATGGACAGCATGCCTTGCTTTAATTAGCAAACTAATTAAAAAGAAATGAGGAATTGAACGCAATCAACAGGATAATTAATAACTGTCATGATGACAAAACAGGGTTTGATAGTTTGACACTTCCTGTATGTTAACATAGAGGAGGCGGGGTTTATGACCTATACCGCAGAGAGCCAGCAGGGGGAGCTCTCAAACGTTTTGCATCACCTGAGGCGAGGTGTCCGCCGTCCATATATTAATATTATGTTGCATGTTGTGTTATTATACTTTAATACAGCATTGTGTGCCCCTGTGTGTGTTTGTGGTTAAGATACATATTTTCGCTCTTTTGTCCTCATCTTGTTGACATTTATATTTGGTCGTTTATATTTATATTTTGATCTTACATCCATAATTCGTTGTTCAATATTTTTGTTTTTTTGATTTCATCATCATCTCACCTCCATTGTGTCCGTATTCCTGTTCTGATCCAGAGATTGAAGTTTTTATTTTATTTATCAAACTTGTTTAAATATTTTGTAAATGTATCTTTACAGTATTGTTCTTTATCTTTAAAAAAAAAAAAAAAAAAACGTTTTTAAAAATCTTTACGATTAAAACAAAGACAACTTTCACTGATGATAAAAAAGTTGATGAACTGCTGGATTCATCTCAAGTTTATGTTCCTAGTTACAGGATGTTTCAGTGTATTGGTTTCTAACTGGTGTGTAATGGAGCTTTGTCCTCTCTACAGGATGACGTAAAAATAAAACATAAAAAGAGGAAAATGAAGATGGGACTTTATTTAACCTCATTGAAATTGTTCCCTGGATTATGAGTCTGAAGCTCTCTGTCTTTATTTTTGTATTGAAGTGAAAATAAACTCCCATAGAGCTCATGTTTTTACACACGTTGATAGAAACATGTGTGTATGTATTTAAAGCTCGCCAGGGGACGAAGGATTTGTGCTTTTTTTTTTTTTTACAAAAGTAAAGCTGTGTGATGTGATTCACTTTCATTAAACAATA